GGCTGTGCCCAGCTTTGTGCCTGGATGTAGGAATACTTGGCACCAGGTGTGGAATTCCAAGGAAAATTACCTCTTTCGTTCGCGTGAGACCCTGCTGGCTTGCCAAACTCGGAGCAGTAAGAAGGAAAACTGCTGCAGATGAGGAGGCACGGAAATCTCCGGTTTCCCTTTTCCGCAGAGATCACATCCCGAACAACTGTTGAATATTAATAGGCGGTGTAACTGGTGCAACGTCCTGCTAACGATGGGACTAATATACAGCATAGCTTCTGAAGACTACATGTCCCAGCAGGGCAGGTAGGAGACACCAGGCTGTGGTGCAGCGCTGCATGCTGGAACTTGTAGTACCTGTACAATGCATCTCCGCCCTAAGCAGGGCGGTGACCCACCTTGTAGGCGCGGGCGCAGTTAGCCACCTCAGGGTGTGGGATGCCTGTGCTTCATCTGCTAGGTGTGTTACTGAAGGTGATGGGTCCCGGGCTGTGTTATTTTGCAGTTTTTTTAAATCTGTTTTTGCAAGCTTTAGATAATTCTGACAACATGACACTTAAAGCGGCAAAGTAGTTGCTTTGTCTTTCTCAAAGAGGCAACCTGCTGCCCTCTGTATTTGGCTTTCTGGTATACGTGTGTGCAGAGCTGATTCGTCCGTAATTATTTGCTTTCTTCAGTGTCTTTTGAAGTTTGTCTTCAAGCCAGTTCCTTATATTAAAAATAAATTCTTCCAAGCCACCAATAAAATGTCAGCTGTGATTAAAGCCTGACTCCTCATTTTAAGACTTGTCTCCTAAGCAATGTGAGGTCGCTCTATGAGTCAGCGTTTGAAAGGACCGTTATTCCTGAGAGCATGGGTAAAGCCCAAAGTTCATAGCTGCTTGCTTAAATGGTTTCACTGCATTTTAAATTGCTTTGCATTGTGCTGAAAGAAATGTAAACTGTGGGGCCCGTTTGGCACAGGACTCGTGATATTTCACGTACCTCAAATCTTGAAAAAAAATCCTCTATATTAATGTAGAGGTTGTTATTTCTGGTAGGAAAAGCTTTACCTCCTGTGTATGAAAGAGGAAGGTGGAGTGCGAAGCTGTGCTTGAGGCATAAACTTTCAACGATGTTCTGTTGAAATAAAACTTGGGAACTGTAAAATCTCCGGGCGAGGGCTTTGTCTTTTGTACAGTGCCCAGCAGAACCGAGCCGAAGTCTGACAGGGCTTTCTGGACACAGGAACTTTATTAAAATACTAACAAAATATAGCAGGGCATTAAGGCTGCAAGTGCAAGCCCTGAGAAGTGAGGAAATACTATTTTTAAGACAATCTGTGCAGCCTGTTTATTCTTTTTGTGCACATTAATTATAAGAGCCTTTAATTACACGATCACATTTTCTTTTGTCATTCTTCCTCCCTGTTTGCTGCGGTGCACACTCTTGAGCATTTGGAGGTAATTAATCACACCGGAGTAGTTAGTAACTCGGAGCAGGGCTCTGACTCCAGCCTGTATGTGTCCATCTCGGGTCTCCCCATCCCTCCCTCCGCCCTTTTCCTACCCTCCTAATTAACTCCCGCCCCGGTTCCTCACTGCTCTGCATTCAAATCAAACCCCTTTGTCTCGGTGCTGCCCGGGTGTCCGTGGGGAATCCTTGGGTCCGGGTGCTCTCTGCCCGAGTGCTGGGGAGGGAACTGGGAGCCGTTGGCCGGAGAGGTAATCTGAGGGGAAAGTCTTGCTGGCCTTTTCCTCCTGCGGTGGAGCGTGCTCAGAGCAGAGGCGGTTCAGGTCATTTAGCTGCCCGGCACCCCACTGAACGTGCTCCAGTGGGGATTATCAAGGGTTTGAAGTGGCATGAAATAGCGTTACAAATTTTGGCAAGTTTCAGGTTGTCTTCCCCCTTCCGCTCTCAGGCTTTCCAACAACCTGACCGTGATATTTTTGTTAAGCAGCAGTCAAAATCTCCAGTGCTTCTCTCAGAAGGTGGGCAGGAGTATTTGTTGGAACCTACTTTTTCCCCTCACCGGAGCTGGTACTGAACGCGCACCACGCTCGGCCGAGAGCGGCAGGGCCCGGGAGGGGAGGGCAGC